TGAGGTGGCACTGACTGGCGGCACTTGTGGGCAGCACTGCTGGGCACCGATCATCAGTTCCCTGATGATCGGTGCCGATCCCTCCTCTGACAATTGCCGGTTATCGGCAGTACTTTCCTCACGCTGTGACAGTGATCACTGAGATCGCCAGGTGTGCACCCCCGGGGGCGAGCGCGAGAGTGTCCTATGAATCCCTCCCAGAACTGGCCGGCCACAGTGAAGCCGTCATTTGGCTGTCTGCGGTCGGCAAGTGGTTAAGAGGTATAGACTCCAGAGAGAGTCCCAGAGTGTCGGCTAAAGACCTACAGAAATCTCTAAACATAACATTTTTGTTGACACATCTACAATAAGGAAAACATTAAACAAGAATGGAGTACATGGGAGGACACCACGGAGGAAGCCATTGCTGTCCAAAAAGAATATTGCAGCATGTTTGAAGTTTGCAAAAGAGCACCTGGATGTTCCACAGCACTACTGGCAAAATATACTGTGGACAGATGAAACCAAGATTGAGTTGTTTGGGAAGAACACACAACACTATGTGTGGAGAAAAAAAGGCACAGCACACCAATATCAAAACCTCATCCCTACTGTAAAACACGGTGGAGGGAGCATCATGGTTTGGGGCTGCTTTGCTGCCTCAGGGCCTGGACGGATTGTTGTCATTGATGGGAAAATTAATTCCAGAGTTTATCAAGACATTTTTGCAGGAAACCGTACGACAATTTGTCCGCCAACTGAAGCTCCGCTGAGGATGGGTGATGCAACAGGACAATGACCCAAAGCATACAAGTAATTCAACAAAACAATGGCTGCAACAGCACAGAATACGCCTTCTGGAGTGGCCCAGTCAGAGTCCTGACCTCAACCCGATTGAAATGCTGTGGCATGACCTTAAGAGAGCGATTCACACCAGACATCCCAAGAATATTGCTACACTGAAACAGTTTTGTGAAGAGCAGTGGTCCAAAATTACTCCAGATCGTTGTGCAGGTCTGATCTGCAACTACAGGAAACGTTTGGTTGAGGTTATTGCTGCCAAAGGAGGGTCAACCAGTTAAGACCAAAGGTTCACATACTGTTTCCTCCCTGCACTGTGAATGTTTGCATGTTATGTGCAATTAAACCATGGCAACATCTAATGTTTGTGTAGTATTATGTTCAGCAGACTGTTCTTCTATTGTTGTGACTTAGATGACGTTCAGAGCACATTTTATGCCCAATTCATGCAAAACTCCACGTAATCCCAAGGGGTTCGCATACTTTTTCTTGCAACTAATTTTGAGGTAATGCGCTAGGCTGGTGCGCCTTATGGTTTTTGTTTTTACAGTTGCATCTCTGGTTTCCCCTGACCTATTGGAGGGCAGCATAGCCAGTGCTATTATTGACGTATTAAAAGGCCATTCACTCTGTCATCAGTCCTATGGTGCCAACACATTGCTCTTGAGATCAGGAGGTGTTTTTCTTGTTTTGGGCCTGCACATGTGCCGCCTTGAGGAGGGAGACCTTGCAGGCGCTGCAGGATTTCAGTCCATGGCGGCAGATAGTGTTACCGATGGTTTGTTTGGTGACTGTGGTTCTAACTGCCTTGAGATCATTCACAAGCTCCTCCTGTGTAGTTCTGGGCTGAGTCCTCACTTTTCATATTATCATCCTTACCCCATGAGGTCATATCTTGCATGGAGCTCCAGACCGAGGGCGAATGATGGTTGTCATGGTGCGCGGTGTCAGACCCCAGCCCTTCTCACCAACTTGTGACCGAAGGACCAGCCGATCTCGCACCGCGCTGTCACTTGCGTAACAATGCCACTCTCAGCTGCGCCCTGCACAAATATTTTCCAGCTTGCGGGACCACAATCTATGTGCCAGCAGCCTGAGAGCAATTGTTGCTGGGTCAGAGTAATTACGCAATTAACCCTTCACACTGCCACCACCACCTTTTTACAGAGAAGGAGGAAACTCACAAATCTTAGCAGTAACACTAAGTATATTAGTATAAGCGTCTGTAATACACACTGTCACCACAGACAGATGTATTCAGACGATTATTACATACAGTAGCACTCTTCAGAGACCGGGATTCTTTAGTTTGCATTAAAAGCTTTAGAGACAGTTCAACACTTTTTTTAGAAAATAGGATTTATTACTAAAAAAGGTCAAAATGGTGCAATTAAAATATTTACAGAAAAAGATGTAACAAAGATATAAAGGGCAATAAAACAGACCTAAAAGAAAAGTTCAGAATGCAGAATACTTGTAAAAGTCCTTGGTTTGAGCAGAGTCCAAATGTCCGAACAAAAGGTTGCCTTGGCTCTCAAGTCTCTTAGATGGTTTTTGATCGATTGTTAGAGAGCTTTCTTTCTCCTGGCTGTCAGTCTTTTTCTATCATCTCAAAGGGGTGTCTCCTGAGAACAAATGACCGAATCCCTTACAATTTCATACTAAGGTCAATAACCTTCAATAGGTACAGGTAGCATCCTACCTGGCAGATTAATATTTATAATTCTATTCCAAACGCAAAGATATCAAACATAGCATATCCTGCCACTATCGATAAAAGAAATTGCTTTCTACTCTCTTGTAGGTGCTAACCTAGTGCTGTAAGGTCTCATGTGACTCATATTAAAATGACCTATCTGAATATATACTTCATATTAATGTGCCCAGTTCCTGCTGAAGTTTATGAATTTGTATGAAAAATGACTCATGTGGAATGTACGTTTTATGGCACACTCTAGCTGTAATGGTCTAACAGGTAATGACTGACTGAGTTATTGTTTGATCGGGCAGAGCAAAATGGTTTTCAAGCAGACCCCCTGGAAACAGACTAATTAGTGGTTTACAGCCATGGAGCTCATTTAGCTGTGTTTTATTTAGGATAAGAGGCCCTTTTGACCTTGTTCACTTACAGCCTCACATTCCATTCAGAAGGGAGGAGGAAGGACAGAAGAGACAGCATGGCTGTGACCTAACAAGATGACTGTCATGTACAGGGTCCATGTGTCTATGCGCTCAGTCGTCACAATGGTTATTTTGTATTTCTTCTATTTGCAAATAATTGCTCCTACAGTTGTCTCCTCATAAAGCTTCTTGTTGATGGTCTTCTAGCCCATTCCAATATATTAAAAAGTAAGGGTCCCAATACTGATCCTTGGGGTACACCACAACCTTAGACCATTCAGAGCATGAATCATTAACCACTACTCTCTGAATATGGTCTTTTGCTAGTTTTCTATCCATTTACAAACTGTTTTTTTTTTTTTCTTTTTCCCCAAGCCTGTAGACTTTACACTATAGGCGTGTGTTGGGAACTGTCAAACACTTTTGCAAAATCCAAGTATATTACATCCACAGCTACTCTATTGTCTAGGATTTTGCATACCTCATTAAAAAAAAAAAATCAGGTTTGTTTTCATCAATCCATGCTGTCTATTGCCTATTGTGTGTGTGTGTGTGGTGTTTTTTTTTTTTTTGTTTTTGTTTTTTTTTCCCCCTTTCTTCTAGCAAAAAACTCATCTGTGATCTTTTATTAAACTCTCTAGTATCTTCCCAGAAATAGAAGTTAAACTAACAGGTCTATTGTTACTTGGTAAAGACTTTGAACTATTTTTAAATATAGGCACCACATCGGCCATCCAGTGGTACTATACCAGTCATTGCATGTTGAGCAGCACTTTAGAGACCTTGCATAAACTCAGATTAGAGTGGTGGTTTTCTTGCACTAGTCACTAGAGATTTAAGCTCATTCAAGTTAATGGCTCTGCATTTGGATCCCTCCAAGGGCCATTTCAGCATTACTTATTACCCGGCTACTTCTAGACTGGCTGGAGATATTGTATACATTGGGGAGATTTACTAAAACTGGCACACTCAAATTAATTGTTTGTATGGGTAAAAAACATAATCAGCATGTTAAATATGTGAACCGTTCCCCTTGTTTTGCTGCATGTACAGAAATATAACTGTTGAAATTCCACAAACCCAGTGAGCTCCTAACGTCTTTGCTCTGCATTGAACTTCCAAGCAGTCACCCCAGTTCCAGTTTACATTTATGGACTACATCCCCCTTGGAGATTTGTGCTGTGGCCTGCTCCTTTGCAACCCCCACTTCCACCTCCACAATGGCCAGGAAGTGTGATGTGTGGCCTCACCGGCTAGTAGGAAAGCAAGTATAACATTGGTACCTATGTTGTCTTTTTGCAATACAGAGTGCACTGTCAAGGGGCTGGCTGCAGAAACCCAGAAGAGACAGCCAGCTCCATGATAATCTACAATAGGAAGGTGGTGGCGCAGGATGGGACCTATAGGAGGAGAGAAGTCCACGCTGGATCCGTTGGGATTGTGAGTAGATATATGCAGTATAGAAGGAAGACAAAAGATAAAGGACACATTGGGGTTGACTTACTAAAACTGAAGAGTGCAAAATCTGGTGCAGCTCTGCAGAGAAAGCAGTTGGGTGCCAGTTTTTTTTTTTTTTTTTTGTCAAAGCTTAATTGAACAAGCTGATGTTAGAAGCTGATCGGCAACCATGCAGAGCTGCATCAGATTTTGCATTCTCCAATTTTGGCAAATGAACGGTGTTCATTTTTGGAAGGGAGAAGTTCCTCTTTATCATCCCGCTGTATTACCTTGCCAAAGGCCACATACTTTGGAAAATATTAGGGCCCTATAACACGGGTGGACTCCCCCAAGTGGATCTTCCTTCTCGGAGGGGAATCTGTCCACTGATCCCCGCTGAGCAGGTGGATGACAGGTCTGTGTCTGCTCTGCACAAGTGGACACAGCCCACTGTTCTCTGGAGCGTTCAGATGTAAACGGACTGCCCGTCCCTTTTTACATCCGACTGTCGCCTGATTCACTAGACAGATGGGGAATGGATCCCCCAATCCGTCTGTTTTTAGCGGATCGGATGCAGGTGTTTTTAAAGTACCAAGGACATTTTTAATCTGTTAAATGGTTTTGTGTCTTGTTTACCTTAGTTTTATTTTTTATCTTTCAATAGCCGTGAAGATTTTCAACGAATACCAGAACTAGCGATAAACCCCTTGGGTGACCGAATTATTAATGCATTTTTCTCTGAGGGGTAAGTTTCAGTCTTTGACTCTTTAGTTTGTTTGTACCTTGGGAACATGATTAGGATCATGTTTGTTTTCAAGCTAAAGAATGTGCAGATTTAGCAAGGCCATACCTCCTACAATTGATTGTGCTAATTTTGTTTCCTTTAATGATTTTTCTTTCCAAAGTTCATTACAGAAAGTGTCAGCTGCTGTCTGAATTTAGAAGAACTTCAAGCTTTGTGACAATTACACTTCAGTTTGTACTCCGTTTTATACATATTGAATGGGTAGGGTGCCTGCCTTCATGTTAACCAAAAACTAGGATGATTTTAAAGAATAGCACAATAGAAATCACTAGTTTCCCGCTACAAATGTATATACATTAGAAATCACAAGGCATGTAATTACCCATATAAAGGTGATCTTCTCACCCTGCACGCACCTCACATGAACCACATGCAGCACTGCCAAGATCTGATTTATAACAAGAATGGAAATTTGAAGCACTGCACCCACTGTTAAGGACCAGATACAACTTTATTACAGTAAAAGTCAGGGCAGCCTGAATGGCTGGTTTCTCCCCCTAAATGTTTGGTATCTTTTGTACTCAGAGAAGTTTGTTCAGAAATGCTCTGTCCCTTTTTTTTTGCTTCCTTCTTCCCCCCCAAGAACCTTACAGGCAAACATGTTTACCTATGTCAGCCTTGCATGAAGTTCTGACCATGGTTGATACTCTTAAACCATGGCTGACTTTTCTCATGTCCTTTAAACAGGATCTAGTCAATGCTGGCATAGACCAGCAAATGGATGATCACATACGCTAGGTGATTTTTGGCCCTGATCTTTGGTTTTGTTGGGATGCTGGAGACTTTCAAATTGGGGGGGGGGAAATTTTACCTATAGTTCTTCAGTATAGCTTCACTTTGCCAAGAATAACAAGGGAAAAAGCAGCATTATGCTTGCACATGATTGGATGATGGAAGTCAGCAGAGCTCCCCCTTATTTACAAAGCTCTGGAACAACTTCCCTTGCAAAGTGCTCAGTCTATGAGCCTTTAGTAAATTATCCCCATTACATTTAGTATATCCATCCATTACATGTAATAAAATATACTTATTTTCTCCTGTCACTTCGCCAGATTTTTTAATATATATATATATATATATATATATATATATACATACAAGCATATACATAATTTTGCTGCAAAAAACCTCACAATCACTCAAAACCTAATACAATGTGCTTGCATATCACAATGTTCTAATCCCTGTTATAACATTTGTTTCATATGTAGTGGGGATACTTTACTTTTTCACAATTATTTTTAGCGAGATCTTTCCATTTGACAAGTTCCCACTGATATCATTGATCTTTTTTAGCTATCTATAAGGGGGTAATTTTTCACTATGACCACAACTAATAATTTACTAATGTATCATGAGTTGTAGATGTTTTAAGCAAGGGTTTCCGGAGACCGTAAAGTTATTCCAAGGATTCCTCTGTGTTGAGAGGGTTGAGAAAGATTGCTTGAAAGTGTATAACTAAAGGCAAAACTTTATTTTTCATTTTTGATAGCCAGTTTTTTTTGTTTTGGGTTTTTTTTTTTTTTTTGGCTGTCTGTGTCCCTTTCGGAAGAGGTCTCTTCTATCTGGCTATAACCTAAAATTTGGAATTTTCTTTTTGAAAGGCATTTGTGCTTCTAATGACCACTGGTAGGTTCCGGTCCCCCATTGGGCCCAAGAGACTGTGTTCTGGAAGGAAGAAATTAGCATGCACACACAGGTTTCCAGAAGACAATCTGAATCTTTATTCGTAGATTCTTCTTATATTGTAACAGAAAACCATACAATAGGATTTCGCTGGATACTTGTCAAGGCTGTGAACGTGAGATTTCTCAGACCTTGAAATCAGTTACAAGTAACCAACAGTTATTTTCCCATGGGACAGAAGTATTTGACTTTTAACTATATCATAGCAGAAACGCTGTTAATACAAAGAAATAACTGGATACTTTCCCTGCCTCTACCAAGGCTAAGATAAAAAAAACAACAGAATGTGTGAGCACAGTTCTGTAACACATAACTGACACAGCATATTTTCATTAACTCATTCTGGGTATAATATAAAACAATTAATCAACATGAAGTACAAAATCTAAAATGGAGGGGGAAAACAAAATGACAGACAAAAAAGACATACATTTCCCTTTTACTTTTCATTTCACTTTCAATGAAAATGGTAAAGAGGACAAATATAGAGAGGGTGAATCTCCCTAGTGGGGACAGACAGCATTAAAAACCTAATACTGTAGGTGTTCTAACATCTCTCCACACCATCCAAAAATAAAAAAAAATGTTTTTCCTTTAGTTACTTTAGTAAATTCAAAATATCTTTATAAATGTCAAATAATAAATGAACATGGTATCACAAAACCACACACCTATATAAATACCCTTCTTCCACCAATAAAATATATATTTTTTTCTTGGTTGAAGAAGGGTACTTATATAGGTGTGTGATTTTGTGATACCATTTTCATATATTACCTCTTTCTTAGCATTAAAAACTAATATCCTATAAACATCCCACTGGATATCACATGAGATAAAATACTGCATGGTTTTATGAGAACGCATATTTTGGAAAAATACAGCATGTAGTATTTTAGAAGTGTTTTTAGTGAATGCCAAAAGTTTTTTGAAAAATGTTGAGCTGTGTTTTACTGCATTTCTTAAAGTGGTAGATACCGCTTTGTCAATGGAACCCACTATCACTTAAAATTCACTTCTAAAGAGCAGGCACTTAGAAATGTCTACATATACCAACAGCTGCTATAAATCCCCCATATCAGCCTATATGCTTGACTACAGTGACTACACATTCCTGTTTTCCAATTAGGCTGGCTATCTTGGTACTGGCCATTAGCAGAACATGGACACTGAAAATTACTGCCTGCTCTCCATACCAATCAGCTTGTACCTACCTTCTTTCTTTTTCATTGTTTCTTCCCCTGACTTTCTTTTATGTCTTGGTGAGAAGGTCACCATTGAAGTAAACCTGTTTACTCCTGCAGAGTGAAGTAATAGGGTTGTACAAATTAACATCTCCCTCCCCTTACATAAATGTACTTTTTCCTCCCTCCACTGCAAAACACAGGTTGATGGGTCCCCTTTGAAGAATATTTTAAACCTGAAATTAAGGAGAAAATTCAGTCCCCTTTTAATGGCAGATTCCAACAACCCCAATGCCTGGTAGAGCCCTTCTGCGCATATGCACAGGAGTTTTCCTGTGCATGCGCAAAGATGGCATAGGTTTGGGGTTTCCATAATGTGCACATGTGCCACAGGGCTCACTCGGGACCTGAAGCCCAGTGGCACATCTGCGCATGTGCTGAATTCCAGGGTGGGAGACATGAAAGTCCTTCTAAGCCCTTAAGTTTATCAAAAAAAAAAAAAATTGTGATGGAGGAGGCAGCAGCGCGATATTACACTTCATTTAGGGTAAAGGTCTGCTTTAAGGGAAAGTTCTTTTGGGGGATTTTGTATTTTTTTTTGCCTTTTTTTTTTATATTAAGATAGAAACCCAATAACTATTATTACATACTACCAAAAGACAAACTCTTGGCTCTGAGGAAAAGGCTAAGCCCTCAAAATGCGTTAGAATGTTGGAAGTCCAGGGTTCCAATTGCAGATTTACATGTGTGGATTGGACAGTGCTGTTATTTGTGATGTGCCTTTTGACATTCATGTCAATTGTGAGTACGATACCTATCTTTTATCATTTCAATAAATGTATTTTACGATAATGCACTAGGTCGGTGTGCTCTGTTTGTTTTCTTTGTATCCAAAAGTAAGTTCTACATGATATACATTTTATTTGTCATTAAAGGCTGGTATTCCGAGTGTAATAAATATGCTTTCTTACTTTAACCACCTATGCTAAAACATTTTCCCCTTGGTTCCTGTCCTGGTGAGAACTTTTTTTTACTAAATAGGAAAAGTGAAGGAATCGCTCCCAATGGCTGTAAAAACTTTTAGGAGTTGGAATCCTTCTGCACTTTAGTCCCCAGTCATACCAATCCGACTTTGAAATTGTGAGACTTCACTGGAGGTCGCATGATTTCAAAGTCTGATGTCATTCCGAATTGAGGTGCAACTTGCAAGACATCTGCAGCTTGCAAGACACAGATGTCTGTTGCACCTGAAGTAGTGCATGCACTACTTTGGAAATCGGTGCGGCTCCAACCAAGTCAGAATCGTACAGATATGACTGCTTTAATTGCGTTTGAAACTTGCATGGGAAGTCGCACCTGGTATGACCAGGCACTTATGCCCAAAACTTGCTTTTATAAAAGTTCTATAAAAGGTCTTGAGGAAATGTCAGTGGCATAAATTTGTAAGTTGAATTAAATAATGAATGATTTGCATACAGACAGTGTGACGTGTGTGTTTCCCCCCCGTGTGCTTTGTCTTCAGAGAGGACCAAGTAAATTTTCGTGGTTTTATGAGGACACTAGCCCACTTCAGACCAATCGAAGATAATGAGAAATCCAAGGACCCGAGCAACCCAGAGCCTCTGAACAGCAGGAGCAACAAACTCTTGTGTAAGAAACATGCCTTGCCTATTTAATATTCTTTCCCCTTTTCTGTTAACTGTAATATTCTGACGGTATGTAATTCTATTTTGAAGCAAATTGATTACAAACCAAGCCAATTCAGACTGCGTTTATTCTGAAATAATGGATTATCAGAGGTTACATGTGTTGATACCTAGTACAGTATTTCTGTGCATTCAGTTCTGAGTTTTACACAGCATAAAGAGTAGGCAGGAGACCTGTTTTTTCGTAGTCCCATTTTAAGTAATACAACCAGTTCTTGTACATTCCCCTAGCCTGTGAGTGGCCGGTTAGGGAGAAGCACACTGATGAGGTCATCTCTCTATCATCTTGTTTTTTTCCCCCACTGTCAGCATATCCCTTAGAACATGAGCCCTACAGCAAAACTGTATGGCTTTGTGCTACTTCTCTCTTGTCCAGTCTAAGCTCTTCTGTAATGACACTGAGGCTGATACCAGGTCAGGTACTTGCGCTGTTTGCATTAAAACATTATGTATTATTGAAAACCGAACTTTATTAAATTGTGTCTTTTTAGATTTACCTGAAGTTCAGCTTAGAATGAAAATTGCAAAGTTTCCTTTAAAATGTGAGTTTGAGCTATGCCTCCCAGTTGGTCGAGGAGGCCACCCAATGCATAACAGTACCAACAGGGAAGTAATAAGATGTAGGGCCAAGCTCACCCTAACCTCCTCAATACTGCACCAGTTCTGAATTTTCTCTCACACATGTAAATATTAGTTTGTTTTTTTTTTGTGCTAGAAAATTACTTATAAACCCCAAGCATTATATATATTTTTTAAGCAGAGTCCCTAGAGATTTTTTGGTAAAATATAACAGTTGATGTTCTGTCGAGTAAATAGATACCTAACATGTCACGCTTTAAAATAGCGTATGCCCGTGGAATGGGGAAAAATGGTAGTACTTAAAAATTTCAGTAGGCAACTCTTTTAGAGCCTTTTTCATTTAATTTTTTTAATTACAAAATTATTTTATTTTTATTAGTTTTTTTTTTCAATTTATTGCGGTCACAAGGGATGAACCTCTTGCGATAGCGTGGGCAGTGACAAGGTACACTTTACTGAGATATCCCAGATCTTTCCTTTGTCCTTTAAAAGCATCTGATACACCTGTACACAACAAACCAAAACTGAAAGTGACTATCCTCCTCTCTTCTGGTTTCATGGAGCAAAGAGATGACCACGGCCCTGGTATAACCACTTCATCCCGAGGATGTATGGGTAAATCCAAAGGTCAGGAAGTGATTAACCACTTCCTTTCTATAAGACAGCCATACACAGGGTGGATTTGATTTAAATCACTAGTGAAAAGGCTCAATTTAAATTATAATTTTTAAAGTGCAATGGTCATCTCTGTCCAGCTCCTCCTCCTGACCCGCTGTTGACTCACTTTAATGGGACAGCTGGTGTTGCGGTAGAGACACAAGGTGAGTGGATGGCAGTTAATTTTTTTTTTTGTAATCATTGATTTTTATTCACCCTGCCGTACATCATCTGGTAAGTGGTTCTCCCTGATGATGCCTGCATCTACAGGCATCATCCCGGTATTTATTTATTATTTTTTTTTCAGCTGGTGCTTTACCTTGTATGTAGAAGCCATCCTAGAGGCTAATTAGGGGCTGTTACTCATTTAAAGAATGACATGTTTGTTATCTATTTTACAACTAACCTCATCTTATATTTTACCACAAATGGGTATTGTGTTTGTGTGCACTAAAATTAAAGTATATTTTTTTCAAAAAAAATTGTGTTTAAAAAAAAAAAAACAAACGCGCTGCGCAAGTACCATGTGACATAAATTGCAACCCTCATTTTATTCTCTAGGATCTCTTCTTAAAAAAAGTGTTTTGGGGTTCTAAGTAATTTTCTAGCAAAAATTATGATTTTTACATGTAGGAGAGATGTCTTAATTGACTTGGGAAGCAAGTGGTTTAAAAAAAAAAAAAGGTGAAAAAAGAATATGCAGGAGGAGTATTTACATTCAGTGGGATGTGTCCCTTGTGCTGTTGTGTCCTCATTTAGCAGAAATGGGCCCTCACTGCTGGTACTAGACCTTTCCTGAATGTAAAGGAGACCTTCCAATCTGACTGTCCTTCATTCATACACTGCTCAAAACAATTAAAGGAACACTTTTTAATCAGAGTATATGCATCAAGTCAATTAAACTCTTGGGATATTGATCTGGTCAGTTAAGTAGCAGAGGGGGTTGTTAGTCAGTTTCAGTTACTTTGGTGTTGACGAAATTAACAGGTGCACTAGATGGGTAACAATGAGATGACCCCCAAAACAGGAATTGTTTTACAGGTGGAGACCACTGACATTTTTTTTCCTACTCTTTTCTGACTCCTTTTTTTCACTAGTTTTGCATTTGGCTAGGGTCCGTGTCACTACTGGTAGCATGAGGCGAAACCTGGACCCTACAGAAGTTGCACAGGTAGTCCAACTCCTCCAGGATGGCACATCAATATGTGCCATTGCCTGAAGGTTTGCAGTGTCTCCCAGCACAGTCTCAAGAGCATGGAGTAGATTCCAAGAGACAGGCAGTTACTCTAGGAGAGCTGAACAGGGCCATAGAAGGTCCTTAACCCATCAGCAGGACCAGTATCTGCTCTTTTGTACAAGAAGGAACAGGATGAGCACTTCCAGAGCCCTGCAATATGACCTCCAGCAGGCCATTGGTGTGAATGTCTCTGACCAAACAATCAGAAACTGACTTCATGAGGGTGGCCTGAGGGCCCGATGTCTTCTAGTGGGTCCTGTTCTCACTACCTGGCGCCATAGAGCTAGATTGGAATTTGCCATTGAACACCAGAATTGGCAGGTCTGCCACTGGCATCCTGTGCTTTTCACTGATGAGAGCAGGTTCACCCTGAGCACATGTGACAGACATGAAAGGGTCTGGGGAAGACGTGGAGAAAGTTATGCTGCCTGTAACATTGTTCAGCATGACCATTTTGGTGGTGGGTCAGTGTAGGTCTTGGGAGGCATATCCATGTAGGGACGCACAGACCTCAACAGGCTAGACAATGGCACCCTGACTGCCATTGAAATCCTTGGACCCATGGTCAGACCTTATGCTGGTGCAGTGGGTCCTGGGTTCCTCCTGATGCACAATGCCTAGCCTTGTGGCAAGAGTATGCAGGCAGTTCCTGGAGGATGAAGGCGTTGATACCATTGAAATGACCCCCCACGCTCGCCTGACCAAAATCCAACAGAACACCTCTGGGATACCATGTCGGTCCATTCGATGCCACCAGGTTGCACCTCAGACTGTCAATGAGCTCAGTGATGCCCTGGTCCAGATCTGGGAGGAAATACCCCAGGACACCATCCATCATCTCATTAGGAGCATGCCCCGACATTGTCAGGCATGCATTCAAGCACGTGAGGGCCATACAAACTGAGAACCATTAGGAGTTGCTGCAATGATATTATAATACAGGATTTATATAGCGCCAACAGTTTGCACAGCTCTTTACAAAATGAAGGTAGACATTACAGTTACAATACAATTTGGTACAAGAGGAAACGGCCCTGCTCATTAGAGCTTACAAATTTCAGCAAAATGGACTAGCCTGCTGCATAATTTTTTCACTTTGAATTTTTGGGGGGTGTCTTTGAATTCAGTCCTCTGTAGGTTGATCATTTTTATTTCCATCAAACGATGGGGCATCCTTATATTCCTAACACATTACCCAGTCCATATCAGTATAGATATCCAGCATGATATTTTTTGCCATTTGAGATCTGATATGTTTTTAAAGTGTTCCTTTAATTTTTTTTGAGCAGTGTTGACTACAGGAAAAACAGTATTTAAATATATTTTTTCAGTGCCTCTGTTTCTTGTGATTCCTTTTGGCCTTCCTAGAAGGTAACCTCTGCTTATTTATTTTATTACATGCTAGGTTCAAACTTGAGATTTGTGGCAGATTTACTTGGTGGTTAACCCTTTGAAGGGTAAAGGTCAACAACCAAAAAGATTCTACTCTTAAATCTGAACTACAGGCAAATGGAATGTATAAATGCTGTTTTAACTTTCAAAATGATTTGGATTTCAGTTCATCCAGTCCTGAGATTTGCACATCTTTGCCACTCAGAACAATCCTGCTTGACAGAACAGAGGACCTAATCTTTCTCTTCTGTAGTTTCTCTTTTACTTACAGGTCTCCTCTCCAACCTGTGGCCAAAGAGTGAAAGGGTCCCCCTATCAACATGCTCCTTGTGCTACAATGCATCTGATTGGCTCCTTCTGTTTTGTTTTTTTTTTTCACACCCCCTGTAAACTGTGGAGTCTGGGAATGCGAAAGGCTGCAGTTCTTAAATCTTTAAACGTATTGGATTAAACAAAATTAACCCCCCCCCCTTCCCGTATTGCGCTTTGGAGTTGTTTGTTTTATTTTGTTTTTTTCTTTTTTCAACAAGTTAATATGTGAATTTTAGGCCTGAACATTATTAAAACCTGCTAACACATTTTCTAAAAAGCAGAGAACTTAAAATTTAAAAAATGTTATTGGCAACAAAATTTTTGTTGCACGATATTTGCATTGTCTTTTTTAGTAAAAGATACAACAGAGTCACTAGTAGTACACACAAGAATTCTAATTTGTGTGTGTGTGTCTTTGCGTAATTTAAGACAAGTCCAGTAAATAGACACAACAAATGGCAAGCCTTAACAATGCATGTGCCTGCAAAGCAGAAAAAAGTTACACAATTATTGTACCCAACATTTTAAAAACCTTTACAGCTCACTAGTTTAGTTATCGGCAAATGGTCATTACCCCTCTCACTACAATCTGTTTACATGATCACTGTCTGCATACAAACTTGCATCCTAAGTGTATGTATGCATGCTTATGTGCATGCATAGGTTTCTTAAATTGTTTTGTAATTACTTTGAAACACTTTGTGATAATACATTCAGTGGGACATGTCTTTATTAAGGCGATGTCAAGGGTCTCTTATATTACAGTATGTGCACGTGTCATCCCTGCACTGCTTTTTGAACAGTGTTTAAATAATGACAGCTATGAATCCAAAAGTGCGCACCGCAGAGTGCTTTTGCGTTTCAACACAGAGGGAGGATGGAAAGTAGAGAAGGATCTGTAAAAAAAAACAATCATTCAGTGCCGCTTGCTATCCTGAGCACTGCCGTTAACCTTTTAAGTGTTACTCCAGCTCGGGAATTCTATGTAAATACAGTCCCTGTATTTAGCAGTTTGGAATGCTGAAGCCAGAAACCACTTTGGCAGCCTGGGCAAGGTGGACTGTGATAATGGAGTTTACTTGAAGTTATTGCTTTTTGTTTCAGCTATCAGGTGTCCAGAACAGTTTGAAAACTGTATTAATCCTAAAAGACAAATATTTTTAAAAATGTTGAAACTGTAGATGCTTTCCTTCAATGGAGTAAAATATTAATGTTGTCATGTTTTGCATGTTTCAGTTGCTTTTAGATTATATGACCTTGACAAAGATGACAAAATCTCACGTGATGAGCTTTTACAGGTAAGGCTGCTACTTCAGACTCCAGGATGGTTAGGTTTGTGATGTTTAATTTTCTTCTTAAAAATCAGATGCTTAGGAAGGAGCAATATACAAATTGTATGGAGAACTTTTTTATACTGTAGAATCAAAAGCAAAATTTTTCATCTAAGCCATGGAGGTAGCTGTGCTCCTGCAACTACAAGCTAGGATTCTGTTCAAACCTGTTCACGGTACCAAGGTGTAGTGGGGGGGGGGGAGGGGTTCTACCTTCACATTCCAAAATGTTTGCATGGAATACACAAGGTCAGTCATTACCTCTCAGACCAGGTTAAAACCTAGCATCCCTAGGCAGTCCATAGACTATGCAATTTTCTTTCCTGCAACCAGTAGGTGTTGATGGAGGAATCCCTCCCGTGGAGCTATTGTGTTCTTTCCGTGGGGGGGGGGCTGGATGAACACATTCTAGCCTCCAGATTAAAAAACAAACTACCTCAGTTTGTGAACAATCAAATAAATAATTACGGCGCTCTAATACTAAAAGTGCAAGGTGCTTATAAGAATAAATATATAATATATAGTGTCTGATGTGAATAAATAATACAATTAACTAAAATAAATTAATATAGTGATAACATAATATCAAATCACTAAATGTGCAATCCTCATATAAATGTGCAAATGTTCCATATATAAACCACAGAGAAAATTCATGATGAGATTAAAAAAAAATATAAATAATATTTAATGTGGAAATACGATACTGTCCCCAATGTAGCTGTACAAATGGATTTCCAGCATTGGAAATTACATGTGAGTGCATTATGGAAGCACTTTAAAGCTGTTTTTATCTCTGGGATAAGGCACCAAAGGCAGGGGATTAAGGAGTGGATCAAAGGAGGGAGTATCCCTCACAGCCCTGCAGCTACACAGGCTAACAGCACTATTGCAAAGATCTTATCTTTATACCAAAGGAGAGTACATCTACCTTGGCTGGAAATCCATTTGTACAGCTACATTTGGGACAGTATCGTTGTATTTCCACATTATATATTATTTATATATTTTTTTTTAATCTCATCATGAATTTCTGTGGTTTTATATATGGAACATTTGCACATTTATGAGGATTGCACATTTAGTGATTTGATATGTTATCACTATATTAATTTATTTTAGTTAATTTTATTATTTATTCACATCAGACACTATATATTATATATTTATATTCTATTAAGCACCTTGCACTTTTAGTATTAGAGCGCGGTAATTATTTATTTGTTGTTAAACGCACATCTTATGAGAGTGGGCAAATTAACCAGCGATCTAATACACATTTGTCAGTATACCTCAGTGGCTCACAAGTTAATTGGTATTTTTTTTACCTTAGTTTGTGGTTAGGACCGAGGATCCTCTATTGTTTTCCTTGGGTGCCCTGAAAATTCCCTGTTCTTCGTTTAGGCTAATCTGTGCCTTCCCTCCAGTACGAATTCCACTTGGTCTGTTCAACAAATTAAGAAGGGACGGTGATTCTAATTGCACCACACTGGCCCAGAAGGACCTGTTACACAGACATACTCTGACCTCTAGGAGATGACCCCTGGTCTCTTCCCAACAGGCCAGAACTGCTGCCCCCTATTTCATCCTGCTTCTCAGTCTCACATTTAATTGCATGGCTGTTGAAGCCCAGGTTTAGAGAGAGGGCTTTCTGAATTTGTCACTTCCAGAAAGATCCACTATCATACCTGAAAATCTTATTTTGCCTCTTAATCCCAGAGACTACTCGGTACCTCGTGTTTTGGCCTTACAACAATCGGGTCTTGTCCAGAACTTTGCCATATGCAGTTTAACCACTTTATCTCTGCCCCATAGCAGGAATACTGCTACAGGGTGGCAGCTGTGCGCAAAATCACGTGTGTGTTTTTGCATTTCTGGGTAGGGGGCGCATGCCATTCGCGGCTGTCAATAACCGGGTCCCGGCCGGTGATTGCCAAGGATCTCCGACAGGGGGAGAACTTCTAGTAAACAAAACAGTTGTCCTGCCTGTCAGCTCCTGCACACTGCTTTGCATAGGTGTGCACAGCCATGCAGAGCAGTGTGCTTACAGTGAAACAAACACAGAACATGATTTAAAACAGCACAGTTAACCCTCGGATTGCTCCACATGTTAACCCCTTCATGCCCAGTGCTATTAATGCAGTGTCAGTGCTTTTTATTAGCACTGATCACTGTATTGGTGGCACTGGGGATGTTCGTTCCCCCCCTGTCAGAATGCCCGCTGCTGTAAGTCGCTGATCGCCACTATTACTAGTAAAAAAAAGAAACCAAAAACCCAGTATATATACCGTC